GAAGCTAGAACCACCAGGCTAAGTTATCTGCAGATTCTGAAGACACAGAAACTAAGTGAGATAATAAAGGGTTGTTGCTATCTTTAAGTTGCTAAGTTTTGGGGTAATTTGTTATACAGCAATAGATAACACCTTCTGATATGTGTCGACTTGTGTCTCCCCAAAATTCACATTGAATTCCTAAATCCCAGTACCTTAGGATGTGACCTTATTTCGAAATAGGTTGTTGCAGATTTAATTAGTTAAGATGAAGTCATACTGGAGTAGAATGAGCCTCAATCCAATATGACTAGTATCTTTATTAAAGGGGAGAATTTGGACACAGACATACATGTGAGAATGCCATGTGAAGACTGAAGTTATGCAGACAGAACTACCAGAAGGTAGGAGAGGCCTGAAACAGATTCTTCTCTAGAACCTTCAGAAGGGGGCAGTCCTGCCAACACCTTATCCTCAGACTTCTAGCCTGCATAACTGTGATACAATAGATTTCTGTCGTTCTAAACCACCCAGCTGGGGTGCTTTGTTACTGCAGCTCTAGAAAACTAACACACCCTGTACGCAAGGTTTTATTTTTCTTTGGTTACTTTTAAGATTTTCTCTTCATTAAATTGGTCTTGATTTTTATGTGTCTTGAAATTTGATCTTGACATGCCTTGTGGTTTGTTTTTATTCTGCTTGGGGTCGGTGAATTTCTTGGATTTGTGGGTTTAAGTTTTTCATCAGAATTGAAAAAAATTCTTCCTGACATGCATAGCTTTTCCATCAGCATAATACTGAAGACAAACAATAAAGAAAAACAACACAGTAATGGGCAGAATCCTGTTTTGCCATATAAACCAAAGCAAATGGGCAAGCAGAAGACACAACTGGAGAGTGAATATAGACCATTAGCCCACAAAATTTCTGAGCAATGCAAATCCACCAGTTTCATTTAAAATGAATAATGAATTTTACAAGAACAACAAAAAAGAATTCAAACTGAGGGATGATTGTAGACAAATTTGGTGTAAAAAGTTTTAATTTCATCAATAAAGAATATAATTTGAAAATGAAAGAATAAAATTTCATTCATAATAGCAACCACACCTTGAAGCGACTATGAATAAGTTTCACAGGAAAAAAGAAAGACTGGTAAACATACACATAGAAACATTTACACATACACATATATTCATAGATATAATACATGTATAAATACATATACATACACATTTATACGTATGTATCCCAATTTTACCTGTTAGATAAACCCACTTCATTTTCCCTGGGGCAGAATGCACAGTGAGGCAGAGAGGCTGGGAATGGGATAGGGAAAAATCCTACCGTGGAAATCAGGATTTGAAGGGAATGCGTTTCCTGCTGACTTAACAGCGATTCAGCTCGATTACATATATATGTATAATGTATTTTAAATTGGCACTACAGAGACCCTTTTTTCTCAGAATTTGGTAAGTGAATTCTAAAGTACACTTCTATGAACATGTTTATTAAAAAAAAAAAAAGGGAAAACATGTTACCACTGGTAGAATAGGGATGAATGGATATTGGCGAATACTAACACCAGGGAGACAAACACTTGCTGGGTTCAAATACCATCTGAGTTCTCTCATTGCCTAATCTGCTTATCTGTGCATTTTTTCCCCTACTGCAACTACTGTTTTCTTCTCCTGGCTGCTGGAATCTTCAGGATCACATATGAGCTATCCCCCATATACTGTCAAACTGTTAACAATGTGGAGAGGAGTTGATTAACTTAATGTTTTTTTCATTATTTTAAAAGGGAGGCACACCTGGCATTTTGAATCATTAATGTTTTCATGGTTCACACTGAATTTTATACCACATTTATTAAACACACTCTATCTCTTTCCTGTATGAGTTCTCTAATGTTATAAGGGTTAAGGGTAGAAAATTTTCTCACATTAATTGCATTTGCAAGATTTCACTCTGTGCATTTTTATAGTTTTAGCATTGTGTAAATAATATGACTTGCTGTTTTGTTGGTCATGACTTTGTTCTAATTTACTTAAGCATTTTCTAATGTAAAAGGAAGTTTGGTTTGTGGCAAAATGTTTTCTTGCATTAATTATATTCATAGGGTTTCTCCCTGTATTTTCTAATGTTCAGTGAGAGTCCACAGCCAATGGTAGGTTTTTCCACATCTGCTGGAAGTTCATAGGGTTTCTTTCCTGTGTGAATTCTCTGATGTACTGATGGCTGAAGGACTTCCCACAATCATTAGTCATATGACCTCTCCCAGTGGGAGTGCGCTGATGTTCAATGAAGGAGAACTTCTGGCAGAGAGTCTTCCCACATTCATTATATTCATGGGAGAGAACACACTCTCCCATGTGTGTTCTCTGATGTTGGGTGAAGGCTGCCTTCTGGCAGTAGGTCCTCCCACATTCACTACATTCATAAGGTCTCTCCCATATGGTTCTTTCATCCTCAACGAGTGTGTTTTTGCTGACGGCAAACCCATGTTCATTACACTCATGAACATTCTCCTTTGCGTGCATTCTCATGGTCACTGTGGTTTGACTTCACCATCAGTGTTCTACCACATTTATTAAACACTCTATGTTCCCCTCCTGTGTGAGTTCTCTGATGTATAGTGAGTGTAAACTTATGGCAGAAAACTTTTCCACATTTGTAACACATGTAAGACTGCTCTCCTCTATGGGTTACCTGATGTGCAGTAAGGGCTGATTTAGTACATTAAAATTTTCCACGTTGACTGCACTCAGGGTTTTTTTCCTGTGAGTTCTCCGATGCACACAGAGGGCTGACTGACAGAGGTTTTCCTACATTCATGACACTCATAGGGTTTCTCCCCCGTGTGAGATGGCCGGCTGGCATCTGGACATCTGGTTTGGAGCTCAAAGAGAGACAGGCGATCAAAAGTACTGGAAGACATACATAACAAGGCAGGTCTCTATGAACCAATACGGAGGGATTTTCAGACTATAATGTTAAGTGAAAGAAGCAAAGTGCAAAAGAATGCTAGTATGCTATGAAATTTAAATTGGCACTACAGAGACCCTTTTTTCTCAGAATTTGTTAAGTGAATTCTAAAGTACACTTCTATGAACATGTTTATTAAAAAAAAAAAGGGAAAACATGTTACCACTGGTAGAATAGGGATGAATGGATACTGGCGAATACTAACACCAGGGAGTTAAGAAAATACACATGTAACTGCTCATGTGTAAGAAAACGAAAATAGGATACACCAGGAACCAATGCAATGGGTTCCCTTTAGGGCACAAGTGGGATAGAGAGGGTCGGGCAATGGGAACAGGACAGAATGGGTGGGGGAGTGGCACTTCCCTATATCTTTCCATACAGTTCTGACCCTTAGAACTGTGGCAATGTCACATACCCCCAAAATAAATAATTAAAATCAGCCAGGAGGTGGAAGGGGAATACCAAATAGAAGACAAACAGTAACAAACAAACCGGACTGTATTAAAGTTAAATAACTACAAGCAAGAGATGAGGAAGAAAAGAACTAACCAAGTAACTGGAGGAGAGTATTTCAACTACATCCCGTAAGGCTCCAGATAAGGACTGCACAGTGACAGTCCAGTTAGGAAACGTGCTTTTCACAGGGGATGTGGATCTGTGATTCTTAACCACCACGTGTGTATACTTGGATGAGCAAATAATACAATGTAGATCATGAGAGCCAGGGTTCCCTGTGAGGCAAAGGAATTATAAATGAGGAAAAGGGAAGGCTAGAATGACCCCAACAAAGCTACCAGCCAGGGGAGACTAAGAATGTCTAGTCCTAGATCGCAGGAGGCTAAGGAGACATGACAACCAAATGTACTGTGGAATCCTAGGTTAGATTAGCAGGATAACTGGCAAAATGTGAGTAAGATAGAAAACAGGATTGTGTTCATGTTAATTCCCTGGTTTTTTGATTGCTGTACTATGGTTTTCAAAGACAAGGGGAAGCTAGGTGTGTGCATTGTGTATGATTTTTCTAATTCTTTTCTAAGTCTACAATTATTTCAAAAGAAAGTAGTGGGCAATGGAGCGCCTTCTCCACTTCTGCAGATGCTCATATACTACATCTGCTTCAGGACCACTGTATGCTTTCAGTTTTTCCTTTTTTGCTCCTGATGTATATCGTCAAACTAACACATCATCAGACAACTTAATCACACCCTTCCTCCGATCATCACTTAACTGTTTCCTGCATGTAAAACTAGAAGTAGTCACCTTATCCATATTATTTCCTCCATGAATTACTTCCTCCAAAGAGGTCCGACCTTCCTGAAGATAAGCAGTATCTTGTGATTATAGGCATAACACTGGACAGATACTAGCAAGAATGACTGGCAAAGTATTAGAAGCAAAAGGCGGGTGAGAGCCAGACAAGTGGGGAGCCTGCACTAGGGAGTCCTTTACTAATGCAGACACAGCTGTACTTAAAAGCACAAGGTCTAAAGTTCACTTTGTGAGAAACTGAATGGTGTTTATAACAAAAGAAAAAGAAGGCCAATCTCGTTACTCAGGTCAACTCTGCAAGCAACTTGGTAAGGGTATCATCATCCATTCAGGGCAGAGGGCACTTCCCTATGAGGCAAATATTCCTATGCGCATTTTACAGGTGAGAAAACAGGATTAGTCTTACACGTCCAGGGATGCAGTGCGGTAATGCGGCAGGACCTGATTTGAATCCAAACTCCACGATCTCAAAACCCCATGCAATGGACAAACATCTCCGCCCCCCACCCTCAAATCCCTCAACTGAAATCTCTCCCAGTCATATCCGATCCTGGCATCCCCTTCAGCTGCAGCTCGCACCTTTCTTATAATAAGTCCTTAGTATAAAATAACGAATATAATGATAATATAATCATTTCTTATAATAAATAGTTGTACTCTGCCCTGCTCTCTGTACTTTTCAACCCAGCCTGGCAGGTTGCAGGTGCAAGAGTATCAGCGGACCTTCTGGAATCAGATTTTAGCCATTCGGATGCACAAACCTTTCACGTTCACAGAACACCTTCTTCAGGCAAGAAGGTCTGCAGGGAGAGCCCGTTCCGAGGCCTGCAGGTCTGGGGCTCTGCCCGGCCCTCGCTGCCTTTCTCCCTGACCTTCGGAAACCCGCTTCGGGGCCTCGCTCCGGAGGGATGCGGGGAAGGCGCACGTCCCCGCTCCGCGGACCGAGGCTCCGCCCGGCCCCTCCTTCCCTCCTGTTCCCGAGGCCTCGGAGCTCCCCGCCAGCCCTTCCTCTAACTTGGGGGTGCACCCCCTTCTCTTCCAATTCGCAGTGGAGCCTGGCGACCGCAGTCACGAGGGCCTCCCCGGGTGCAGACTCCGGACCAGGAAGGGCCGGGAAACCGGGGGCTGAGCCGGCTCCGCACAGGCGTAGAAGAGGCCTGAGGGCTGCCGCCCAAGTCCCCGGAGGGGGCGGTGGCCTCGTTTCCGGACTACGTTCCCCATCAGGCCCCGCAGCCGCTGCCCTCGGCGGAAGCGGCTTTCGGAGAGCTCGTCCTTTAATACCGGGCTTGGTTGATTGCCCTGAACCGTTAATACAAAAAGAAAAGTTGAATCTTAACTTCACTGAAGACTGTAGGTGAGAGAAGATGACAGACTATGAAATGTGCAGCAAAATGCTAATGGTTCCAAAATCTTTATCGTTACGAACCCGGAGCCGTCTATCTTGTTCTTGCTACTGTTTTTCCCACTCAACAACCGGAAACACCCTGGGAATAACCTCTATGAACATTTTAAATGCGAGAAAGCTTTCTTGATATCTAAGCTCTCCTAAAGGAGCAATCAGAAGCGTATAACCAATACAGTAAAGCCTTCACCTTTTTTGTTGAATCCATATAAATATGATGTATGAAAGCGTAGAATTCAAGCATCTAAAAATTCTTACTGGGAGAAAATCTATTAGTGCAAAGTGTTGCAGTAAAAAAAAAAAAGCTTATGATATACCTCTGAATGGAATAAAAAATAAAAAGGCAAACAATATATAAAGTGTAATTCTTTAATTTATACATACATAAAAATAGGCACATTTAAATGGATAAAACTATAAATCCAGATAAAATTTAGAAAGATATGCGTCAAAATGTAACTGTGGTAATCCATGGAATATGAGATTATTTAGGAGGGAGAGGGGCTTTTGCTTGTGTATCTATATAGTTTTTCTGTGAAGAAGTAAAATGGAAGGTTTTTCCATTTTGTGTATGAAAGACATACAAAATGAAAGAGGAATAGAAAGGCGTTCCTAACCTATTAATTGAATTTAACAAATGTGTGTGTGTAAAGAGACTAGAACACACAGATCCTCTTTGAGATAAGCAATGAAGAAAAGACTGGAATAAAAAATATTAAATATTCAACACTTATAGGTAAATTTTATTTTTGATGTTATATTCTTTAAAAATTTTCCTTAGTGTTTCAGTAATTTCTATCTGTCCTCAAATCATTCATCTGCCATCCTGCCATCTGTATTTGCTAAAGGTGCCGTAAAAAGGTACCAAGATTGGGTAGTTTAAACAGTATAAATTAATTATCTCACAGTTCTGGAGTCTGAAAGTGTGAAATCATGGTGTTGGCGGGATGGGATCTCCGCAGGGGCTGTGGGGGAGATCTGTTCTGTGCCTCTTTCCTAGCTTTTTGTAGCCTCAGGAATTCCTTAGTTTGTAGGTGGCATTCTTCCTGTCTTCACATTGTTTTCCTTCTGTAGGTGTCTGTCACTGTGTCCAAAGTCTCCCACTCCTTTTTCCAAAAGGACACAGTCGTGTTATATTAATGTCCACCTGAATGACCTCATCTTAACTTGGTCATCTACACAGACCCTATTTTCAAATAAGATCACATTGACAGGTACTAGGGGTTACAATTTCAACATCTTTTAGGGGGATATAACACCATCCAACAATTTTCTGATAGCTTTATTAGAATAAAATTAATTATGACCTCATATTTACTTTCATATGGGTGTAGACATCTCTCTTGGGAGTTACTTGGGCAATATGACATAGGTCTTGGTAGAGTAGAAATCCACTCACTGAATCTATGTCAGTGTTAGTCAATCTCAGCCTTATTCCCGAATACAGGTGGTGCTCCAATAAACATTTGTTGAATGAGTGGTTTAAAAAAGAGAGGGGAAAATATGCAAGAATGAGGAGAAAAACGGGAAGTGCTGGAGAGGGGGATGGAGTCTGAGTTCTATAGCTTTCCAGGTCCCCAACTTTGGGGCTCAGTCTGGGCAGCACAGAGCTCAGGGACTGGTTCCAAGAGATGATGAATTAGGATAGTCTAGGGGAAGGGTGACAGCCAAGAGGGAGAGAGCAAAGGAATAGGGAGGTAAGGGGTGAGGAGTGAAGGCAGGATGGAAGCTGGAGAAGAAAATACAGAAAAGGCAGACGTCCGGCAGATATTGGATAGTGCAGTTTCCAATATGGCCACGAGGTGGCAGTATTAGCATAGGCCAGCCCCCAGTGACTACCAGGATGAACTCCCCTGGCCTGACTGAAGGCTTCCGCTGCTGTTAGACCTGGGCTGGCTCATCTGTGTTGTTTTGCTTCTCCTGACGTTTATACCGCCTTTTTCTGATAACAAGCACTTCAGTTTTCCTTTGGGGAACTACCCCACTTCCATTAAAGTCTGCCACATATACTTGCATAGGCACACTGCACTACTCCAGAGGATCCATCCCTTCAGACTGCTGAGTGGTGGCCACTGGAATTGAGCAGTGCCCAACCTATACAACTGTTGATGGTCCAATAAGTTGCCCATCGTACTCCTGACTCATGGATGCCGTGAAGCAAATGCCCACTAATTCCTGTTAATGTGGATCTCTGGAGTCATCCTGGTTCTGATTCTTGCCAACTCCAATACATTCCTTTTGGATTTAGTTAGACATATTTTCTGTTGTTAGCAAAGAACCCCAGCAAGTCACAATCTACACATCAAACCTTCTTCAAACTGGGAGCCAGATCTCAGCAAAGGGTCTTCAGTACTAAAATGAAAGCTAGTATTTACTCATTATCCATTCATTTATTCACCCAACAAATATTTCGGGGCATCTGGGAAACAGCAGTGAAAAAGCCAGACATGGTACCTGTCTTCATGGAATCTGCATGCTCAAAATATGGTGAGGGAGACCACAATACTTAGAGAATCACAAACAGCTATAGACTTCCAAATTGGGAGGAGCATTGCGAGGGAAAAGAATGGGATGCCACGTGGAAGATATTGTTAAATAGATAGCATTTATTTTAAGCTTGCTAAGTGCAAGCACTTTCTGTGCTTTACAGCAATCTCCAGAACAATGCTGTGAGTTAACTGTTACTGTGGGTCTTAGCTCGTGGCGCAAAAACAAAGCTCACGTTAAACAGAAATATATATGAATAATAATTTATAAATATAAATACAATGTAAGTGTAAATAGGTTTCCCGAGACACAGGGCTTTCAATACTAAAACTAGGGCACTCCAGGGCAAACAGGGACAAGGTGACACTCTAGTAAATAACTTGGCTATGGTCGCACTGTTAGGTAGTGGTGGGTGAGTACTGACTCCAGATCTAGGTGGGCCCCAGAGCTCATATATACAGTGACTACCCATGGGTGCCCTCAGATGGTGTGGGCAGTCTATGGAGAATGGGTCCTTTCCTCAGCAGAAGCATCGCCCCTTCCCATGGTCCCAAATGTCCCCAGGGCAGCTGGAGTTCCTAGACAACTCCTCTGGACCAAAGGCACCCCCAGTCTATGCTGCCTGGTGTCCAGGCAACTTGTCATGTCCCCTTACTGATGAATTTGCTTCCACATGCACCCCATAAGAAAGGACAGCAGAAGGGGCAGGATCCCTCCATGGAACACACCCTACACTGCGCGTCCAGTAAATCCCCCAGGCCCCTCATTCCTCCCTGTGGGATGATGGCAGGATGGGGGACTCAGGCATTTTCCTCTCTCCCTGACCCTCAACTTCAAGTTGATTACTTACACAATGAATCTCCTTACATCAACTCATTCTGTAAGATGTCTCTGAATTCTTCCTGAGCCCCACTGGGTGACAAATGGGGACCCCAGAGGGTCCCACTGTGCCTGAAGATGCTTTGCTGAGCTCCTGCAGCAGTCTGGGCTACCAAGAAAACCCCTCCACACCGTACCCAAATTTCCCTTTCTTCCCCATCTTCCCACCTGTCAATGCCACCTTCTTCGTCCTGGATCCCTTAGTATCCTAAATCTTTCTTTTTCAGGGAAAAACCTTCAAGAACTTCATCATCCACACTGAGATTTTGGGACCCAGTTAAATCCTTCTCTGGAGGAAATGTGCTTACTTGGGGAAGGTGATGCTTAACGACTTCAACAAAGCAGCAACAGCGAGCTGGTGGCACCTATGGAGAAAACAATGTGAGTAGATTGTTTGGGGGGAGGTTATGCCTCAAGTTCCCCTAAATTAAAACCTGGAGTAAGGCTGGTTCCAGCAGCCTGACATTGTCCCCCTCACCGACCCTCTCTGGCTGGGTGGTCTTAGAGCCTCGATCCAGGACAGAGCTGTAGAGGGCTCATGCCCAGTGCAGGCAAGGCAGGTGCCTCCTCAGCCAGGATTCCAGGCCCAGGCTGGATGTGCTGGCCCCCCACCCCCAGCCATCCCTCCCCCGTTAGACTGGGAGCTCCTGAGGGCAGGGCCCTGTTGGTATCATTTCTGTAGTGCCCGGAACGCTCAGCAGGCTGCCTGTATGGAGCAGGGTTTCAATCAAGTCAGGTGCCACCACTTGGAGGGAGGCAGGAATTGGTGTTTATACTGGCAGAAGAGGGCTCCCTGGATTTTCAGGAAGAGGGCCCACATGGCTGGAGGAGACTTGTCAGAACTGGACATGGATTGGTGGTCTTGCAGGTTCACAGACGGCTTGCACCCCCTTGGCTTCCTTCACATAAAGAGTGGAGAGACAGAGTCCCTGAGAGGTGACGGCTTGCTGCCGAGTGACCCTGTCTTCAGTGAGAGAGTGGGACTTGAATCAGCTCTGGCTGACTCAAAATAACATTGCCGTGTTACGTATGTGATTTCCATTCCTCCTTCCCCTTGGTCCTGGAGTGGCATCTGGAGACTGCAAATGGGTAGGCAGTGTCCTCCACAGGGTCTTCCCAGCTGAATTCAGAAAGGCTCCTGGTCTTCAAAGCCTTCCTGTGGCTCCTCTGGCTCCTCCCGCTCCGCTGTAGCACAGTGTGCGTTCCGAGGAGATGCCTCACACGCTGTTCTGCAATGTGGCCGTGCCACTCCCAGCCAAGAGGTGTGGTCTATTTCTCCACGCCCTTGAATCTGGGTGAGCCCTGGGACTCCTCTGGAGGAAGCCCTTCACTGGCCTGGCAGCTTCTGCTTCCCACCTCTCGGAGTCCCAGGCTGCCATCTGAGGCGGTGTCAAGGGGCATCAT